TTTTACATGATCACAACAATAACAATGCTCATGGTCACATGCATGTTGGATAGCATGAGGGACTCAAATGCTCTCATTCTTGCTTTCCTTATGCTTCAAACTTATCCAATGAAGTCAAACAGGTAAAGAAAAAATGACAACCCACTTTTTTATATCTTGTTCTAAGAAATGGAACAAATACACATAGTACTCCTAAGTATATAGGGAAGATGTATTTAGATAATTCAAAGTCGACCTTGATTGGAAGTCTGAATTGATTAGGAAGGTTGTAGAGTGCATGCATATCTCAATTGCTATGAGACTATTATCAATCCTATTGAGAAGATCAAATTTATTTAGAAGAAAATAAATATTTGAATATAATTAGTCCCCACAAATCACTTTGTTCTTTCTACTTCACTATCCCAAAACTTTCCCACCTCAATCTCCTATCAAGTACTTCATAAAATAGTCTGATTATTTAGTTTTAATTTATCACATTTGTATTTCATCTTTCTAATGAACTTCAATTCTTGATTGGTTCGCGGTTGCTACTATGATGGGATTCTTATGTAAAGATATTTTTATGAGTTGTAAAGATTAAAAATCTAAATTAGCTTGAGCTAATCGTTCAATTAGGAGGTTTAATTAAATGTTTTTGTGAAATTTGATGATTTCTATACTACAATTCTGCACCTTTTGTTAATTGATTTGGAGTCTACATTTAGTTCAAGAGGGTTAATCGAACTTTTAGCGTGATTTATACATGACTATCATTTGATACACTTTGCTTTTATGCTTTTTTTTTTCCTTTCTCTATTAGCTTTTACTAGAGTTTCGACCACTTCTATGCTTTTTTCTGATTGTTTACTTAAGGATGGAAGCTTTTGCCTTCAACAACAGGTGATTGCCTACATACATTTCCATCTCCACACCAGCAATCATGTCATCCGCCAAATATAATTTATATCTATACCACGATGGATGGAGAAAGATTGGTTTTAATGTGCATCTTAAGAAGTTTAATGGCATTCATGTTCTTTTTATTGTTGGTAATGGTGAAGCTACAAACAAGTAAGTCCCTCTTTATTTATCTTTTGCTTCCAGGCTTATTCTGGGATGATTTCTTAAGACCAGTAGTAAACTAAAGTTGGTCATAAGCTTGATCGCAAAAAGAAATTGGGCAATTAGCCATCCAATGGCTAACCTGCTTCTATTCATATCTCTTGTCGTCAGAGATGTTAAAATTACATTATTATTTGTATTTATTGGTGAATGCGATGAGCTTTTGTTAAGAAGACCATTTTTTTGGTTAGGTAGAGTCAACAATTTCCTCAATAAATACTGTTGGTGGTTTTGTATTACTAAACCATTCTTGTATGATGATGCTGATGTCATATAGGTTCTAAATTTCTGTATCGTTCTCAGGTTATATGATAATGATGAAAGCAAATACTCTATTTGTAAATTGATTAAAAATGCTTAAAAGTTTAAATTGATATTTGCTAACTGGGTATTTATTGCTTTTTGCTTTCCCCTCGTTGATTAGATGACATCCTTAGCTGCAGAATTTGATAGGGCTTTCCAAAGAGGCATACTAGAGCATAGTGTTTGCATTATACAGCCTACCACTGTCATTTAGATTGCCTACAATTGATCCTTTAAGCTGCTTATTGTACTCCGGTTGCACAATCTTGGTGACGTTTTCTACCCTATGTTGTCATATACTAATTATTGTGCTAATTATTGTGCTCAAATGGGAGGTCAAGGGGTTTTTGAGATATGTTAGTATAAGAGATGGAAGTGGTGCACTCCACTGCATTTGGCAGTTTGTCAAAGACCATGAGATTGTCTTCATGTTCTTGTAAATTACTGCTCTTTGTTCAAATTTTGGATTATCCATTGCATCTTTATGAAACATTATTTCTTTTATACAAATGTGTTTATTAAATTTTTTTAATACAATCTCCTATCAATTCTTAACATTCAAAACGCTAACATTACCTTCAAAATAATACAATCCGTGCATTGCACGGGGCAAAAACTAGTATGAAGAAAAAAAGAGAAGTCATGAAATCTTGAATCTGCTCAATCTTCCTTGATTATAAATCTTGAACTGCACCTTCCTCTTTCTTAGCTTGAAAACCAAGAAATAATCTTCGAAAGAATAATTCCTTACATTTTGCCTCTTGATTTCTCTCAAAAGATTGATAGGTTGACTCTCTTGATTGCAAGAATTTGCGAATTGTATCATACGAGGTATTTTTAATTGTTGGGGTGAATGTTGGTATTTATAGAGGCTAGATTAAGTTGAAATCCATGTCCATTTGATTTCTATATAGTAGATTTAGATAAGGAAACCATAATTTTACCTCGGAAGTGCTCCATGCGATCTCATCATAGTTATGGGTGCGATCGCAAGGTTTTCCGTAGTTGGAACCTGTTGCTTCAAATTCAATACATGGGTTGAGAATTTTCTAATTTGCACACTTTGGACCCCACATTCTTCTCTTCATTCAGTTCAAGTCTTTTCTTCGTGCACTTTTATTACTTCAACTTCCAAGATCCACCAATTTGATATATAACTTCTTTAATGATCATTTTTCTGATTCGAATCATCTTTTGAATATTTGTAATTTAATCCTCAAACTTTAAAATTTTCCTTTTTCACTATTTCTTGGCCGGATTCTTTTTTGATCAAAAGCCATCAAAAGCTGAATAAACCCAACAATAACCAATATAACATAATTAAGTAGTAATGTCATCGATTTAACTCTCAAATGCTTACTTTTGACGATCCAAACAGGTGTAAAAATTACACCTATCAATTGGTCTAAATGTCAAAAAGAACCTAGTCAATGATTAAATAGGGTTCGCCCCAGCCTTTCCCACAGGTCGGAAAAGCGGTGACACGGACCCTTGACAGGGCCGGCAGAATAATTTTATAGAAATGTATTTGACTCGGTCAAAATCGAGTTTTGACCAAGTTAACCGACGATTTACCTTGTTCGGTTGACCGATTTGATTGAGTTTTAACATTTTCTTAAAAAAAATTTGGATTCAAGAGAATTGAACATTTAACCTCTAAGAAAAAATATTGAATTCCTCACCACTTGAACTAAAGAACTTTATTAATATTTGTGTGCAATAACTTACATCTATCTAATGAATCATTTATAACTTTTATAAATATATTCTTTTAAAAAACTTTGGTCCAACATTTTACTTGAAAATGAATCATTTATAACTTTTATAAAAATGTTCTTTTAAAAAATTTGGTCCAACCTTTTCCATACCTAAATTTGTTTTTATGCAATGACCCACCGATTGAACCGCTGGGTCACCGGTTGAACCCTTAACCCATTGACTTACTGCATTGTTCGGGTCTATGTTCGAGTCGAGTCGACAACTATGGTACAATATCATTCTTATCATTTTAATGCGGCCATTTTTCCCTCATTTGAACTGTTTGGAGTCTGGACCTTCAAGTACTATTTCTCATTCTGTTTTCTCCTCTTTTTGAGAGAAATAGAGCGAATTGACGAAAAAAAAAAATCTCTCTAATTAAGTTATCACGTGCAAAACATGTAGCTGTTTAATGATAAAATTAACGATTTTTGAACTGCAGCTTTCAAATTATATCAATTGTTTCACGTACGATTTGAACCAACTAACATTCTCAACCATAATACCATAAATTTGAATCAACTGGTTTTGATATGCAATCAGAACGTTACATCACTAGCTTTTTCAAGCCAGGTTCCAGTTGCTTCTCGTGACACCAGAGAATGTTGTTTGACGGAGATAGCAACAACCCAAGAATGTGTCAGTACTCCGTTTCAAGAATCCCATCAATGAGCCCAAACTCCATTGCCTGCAGGAAGGTAGCAATGACAAGACCGCGGTTAGTATGCATACAAAGAATCAGTTACAAGCTTAATGAGTATGAAAAGCCTGCTCGCGAAATGGCATGCATAGGATAAATCAAAATGGCAAATGTACAAATAGCAACAGTGTTGATCACATGAAAGATTATTTCAAATTTCGACTTTGTTCATCAATAAAACAGAAAACAAATAGAAAAATCGACAGTGCACGAAAGAATATGCAATCTACTCAAAACATATGCAACTTATCCTCAAGAACAATCAAGCTTTAATATCTAAAACAAACCACCGTGTGAAACTACACGATCCTGCACTGTGACCACATTACCATACTAAATCCTAATATGACTAAAGCAAAATTTTATGCATAACATCTTAGTTCAACTTAATAAATACTTGTCCAAGGAAAAATATCTCACATTTGTGACAAGTTCAACATTATTCAATAAGAGAGCTCAGATCGAATCTGTATTGATAGGAGGAGAGAGAAGAATACTGCGAACCTAGTGTTCTAGACACTGCAATACATTCATGTATCATTTTTCTAGTGATGATTCAATATCTACATATACATCTGCATCAAATGCTAACACTTCTGTTCATGTAGTGTTTCAATTGCAATGTGCATTAGATAATCTCAAAGGCTATGAATAGGGCTATAAGAACAAACCTGGTGAGCAATGTTATGTATCACAAGGACGGATCTTGTATATTTCATCAATCCATTGTCACGGTAATATGCCTTAAGGTACACTGGCAATAAAGCAGTGTGCCAATCATTTGCAATGAAAACTAAATTTCCATCTCCATAGCAGACCCCACCACA